AAATCATTCCTCCAAGATATCTTCGATGTGTTAGAAAAAGTGCGCCCGAAAGTGAATACCCTCTTTAGTTTAGGAGCCCCTAACTCGGGGAAAAATTTCTTCTTTGATAGTGTCATTCACCTTATGATCAATTACGGTCAGATGGGTAACTTTACACGCCACGACAACTTTCCGCTGCAGGAATGCGTGCAGCGCAGAGTGATCCTTTGGAACGAGCCTGCAGCGGAGAGTGGCAGTTTCGAAACCCTAAAAACCATCCTCGGGGGGGACACTTGCAATGTCAAGGTAAAATACATGATGGATCACATTCTGCACCGAACGCCGGTGATCGTATTGTCGAATAACGACATATTCCCCAAGGACCCGGCGTTCAACTCAAGGATAATTAAACATAAATGGAGGGGCGCACCGTTTCTAAGAGATCATAAATTAAAAATACACCCACTGACATTAATTTATCTGTTCTTAACGTTCAATATAGTAGACGAAACGTTGATAAATTTCAATAGGCACTATTTGGAGGAGTGCGAGAGAGCCTAACCTAACCTAACCTCGAGACGCGCAACCTAAGTTGAACTCTTGCAAGAAGAAAAGAATGAGATGGAGTCGGGAAATGAAGGATTGTACACCAAGTTTAATGTATCATGACCATAGGTGTTATAGATTTTCATAAAAGTTGATCCCTTTGCCAAGCATCTCAACAATAAATCAGTATTATCTTGTGTATTACATATTAAACGTGGTATTCGTGAGCATGTTAAATTAGGATTGAAAGAAAATGTTACAAACTGGTTTAAAAATAGGAAAATCTGCACATTGGTAATCAATGGAATGTCAATCAAGAGACACTTGGAGTATGATAGCAGAAGAAATTTTGTCAGTGGCAGGGGCACTTATTATTCTAGATCATGGTAAAATTGTTTGCACACAACTGTAGAAGGCCTTGCTGATTTTGCAGAAGCACAAGATTTTAACACTGGGCCTTTTGGAATTGAGTTATCCTAATTAGTGGTAGATATTCATTCATAGCTACTGGGCTCAGTAACAAAGCGCCAAGAAGTTACGCAAAAAATCACCATTTTGGGCTGGAGTTTGCGTTGCTCTTGGTTACACTTTTTCTCTCCCTGACCGATTTCATATTCTTGACTTTCCTTGGTTGCTTGGACCATATGCTTTCATTGATTGATAATACCTTACATTATTTTCTCTTTTTGTTGAGAAGTTGAAGAGGTGAGACGTTGAAAAAAGAAAAACTGAAAAGAGACGTACTCATTAGAGCAGGAGTGCGTACTCATTATAGCAGGAGTACATACAATAGCTATCACCTCAGGCACCATCAGTTGGTAAGAACAGTGCGTGTGAAGATCATCACCAGATGAATACGCTGTTTGTCTTGGATGGGAATGCACTATGCGTCCAGCATAACATTATCGATTGAATTTGTCTTGGAATTCAAACAGCTTCTTAAGTCTGCGTTGTACAAGATTCTGGCGTACCACTTTGTTCTGACACCAGCAGATGAGTTATCACTAATTTGTCCTGGCTCTGAAATTACAGAAATGGTCATCAGCTATCAGATAAAAAGGATAAAATTGAAAATAGTTTTATAATGTGAATAAGAGCTGAGTAAAGTAAGAGTTGGAACTTTAAAACATTGCTTACAAAATGTTCCGAGTTTCCCCAAAAATGTCTTCAGTTCTCATCCCAAATTTTAAAATTTTCCATGAAATTCCAATGAAGCGGTAAAGAACTTTATACACCCCCTGCGCATGACTAGAAAGCAAATACTTTAGCAGGTTTGCCATCCTATGTGAGAACTCAAGTATCAAAATAGTAATTTTATAGACAGACGCAAAGGCAACCCTGCTGACGTATTCAGCTTTTTGCGCATTAAGAGCCTAACTAAATGTGAAGATAGACTCTCATACAAAGTCAGGGTGCTCCTTTCGGACTGCCTTGATGTAGAGATATTTTTTTGTGCTTGAAAGTCAATTTTAGAGACAATTATTGGCAGTATCGTTTTTCTAGCGAACTTTCAATTTGAATAACAAAATTGCAAGTCCCCACAGCATGCAAGAATTCCATTGAAAACTTCAGAAAAATGAATTAAAATGTACCTGTGGGTAGGAGGAAAACTTCTCAACAGCTTGGAAAACCCATGTTGCTCCGGAAGACAATTTAGTTGCAGTTCATGGTTGGTACATAGTTGTATCATGGTTCATGGTTCATGGTTGTATCATAGTATGCTTGACAAGTCTGGTAAGAATACCTATAATCATAACCAAAAAAATTGAGTTGTAGGTTTGAGTCGCTAGTACTTAGAAAAAAAAATTGTCAGAAAAAAAGTTTGAAAAACAAGATGGCAATACCCAGGTGTTTTTCTTCTCCGGGCTGATTGAGATAGATAGATGGATTGCTTAATTGAGAGTTAAAAGAGAGAAAATACAATTTTTTTTAAACATTCCCACATTCGGCTTGGCTAGTGTTGTGGAACGATTTCTAATGGCAAATAATATACAGAGTGTCCCAAAAGTCCGGTCCACCCCTTTTAAAATTTTACCTAATTCTTAGTTTGAAACAAAACTTTGGGAATGTAAGCTACTTTTGGGGCCCCCAAAATTTTGGGGATTTTCCCACAGGCGGGACAGCAAACCTCAACCCTTTTTTTTAAAATGGCAACCCCCCTTTATGATACTTCTCAATTGGGAGAAGATAAAAAAAGAAAATTTTTGGCGCAAACCGCAGGTCTTAGGTAAACTTTTAGAAGGGGTGGACCGGACTCTAGGGACATCTTGTAGTTCTCTACGTAACTATGTACTTAAGTGTAGAGTGAATTTTATCCTTTGACAGTATCTAAAGAGGATAACTGCCTTTAACAGGGAGCCACCTCAGCCAAATGTTTAGAAAGCTTTCAAAAAAAGGGCATTGAATCTTTAAAATATGTGCAGCTAATCAAATCAGTTCTGTCTCTCACTGATACACTTTATCAGCAAATCCCAGAAAAACCAAAGTTCCTCTAAATTTTCAGGTTCGTCAGGATACTAAAAGCCTTGAATATTGAGTACCTGTCAAGTAAAAAAACAAAATGAGAAATGAATAGGAGTATAAAATGAGTCCAATTGTAAAATTTTGCGCCCACCAGAATGTAAACAGAAGGTAAAAAAGTAAACCAACCAACATCGTGTTATCCAAGGATTGCTGTACTCTTCCACATCCTTCAATTGACTGGAAAGATAACTTTAAACAGCTCATAACTGGGCAGGCCTTATCTTGGTGCTTGTGCAACTGACTGGTCATACTTGAACTTCCATGAAAGCTTCAGGTTCATGAACGAAACTTTTCTACCCTTTCGACTTCCCTTCTTTGAATTTTTTTCCAACAGAGTCCACCATCTTGAACACTGCCGGCAGGACTCTGTGCCTTGTCCTCCACTGAAGAGCGAGGTAGGTTGCGTCTTTCCCAGAGACATAGGTCTGAAAAAAACATGCAAATATTAGTTACTCTGATCCACAAAAATGCAGCTAAGTCCATTACAGGGGTGCAGAGACTTCTTCACCATGCAATCGGGTGTGAAAATGGGTAGGCCTCAAACATTACCTTTGCAAATAATAGAGGCTGCGAAACAGTTACAATCTGAGTCACCACCAGCCATCAAAACTCAAGAGTAAAAGGTTATAACCTCACGCCCATCACAAGACATGAATTTTCGGGAGAGCCAGAAGTGCCTTTTGATCCGTTATTCATCAATTGGTTCAAGAGAGGTCTTTAAATATCTTCAGGGTAGACAAATCACCACAAAACTCAGCTGTGGTTAGTTACCACCTTAGAAAGAGCAGTTTGATAGGTAAGAAATGCCATGCTATAGAAACGCAGTAAGCTTAATTACTAAGATGCCAGGATTAAAAGTAAAGCAGTATAGGTTGTGCCGCACCATGGTCCACATTGAAATAAAGACCTTGAATCAAATTCTACTTTAGCTACTACTGCACTCTGCAGCTCTGAGGCCATTGCAGTGAAAAATATTGTCGAAGACTTCTGCAACTAGACTACTTATACGGTTGACATCTCGGTCTCAGATTGGGATTCTAGTGGGTGCTTCACCATTTTCAGTGACCCTCTGTGACTTTGGAGGCTTGGTCAACCTGCAACTTTATATGATACCTAATGAGCGACAAAGTGGAAATTAAATGGCTAGGAATGAGATCGAGTACTTGACTAGTTTCAATGAAACAAGGGTAAAGGGATAGATATCAAAGATATCATACTGAGCAAGATTCACTGATTCAGGAATGAAGCTCGCATAAAATTGAAGTGATAGACTCACCAGATAATTTACCATGCTCTTGGCTTAACAGCAAAAGGAATTAAGAAGATATACTGTTGAGAAAATGCACGGTTGCACATGTACATGTACGGCAGATGTACGGTGCAAGGTGCAAGTATATAAAAATAATTTATAAACCATAACATAACCAACATGGCCGCACGATGCAGTTACTGCACTGTTGCACATTGCTGCAATGTTGCCGCTTTGCTTCGAATGGAACTTCGTTGAAGCTTTAAACTTCAAATCATCCTCGAACTTTGTATTATATTCAAGGAATAATTAAGTTCGCGTTGATAAAATTTTATTCAAATTAATTTGCAGTGTATATTAAAACCGATAAATGCCGCGAAATGGATTTTCCCTCGATTACTTGATTCATAAAAACGCGGGGAATTTCATTGATGTATTCCAGTGTTGTCGGTCGTCGTTCACCCTCCATTTTCTGACTGACGTAACGGCAACTTTCAGAAAATGCGCGTAAAATAAAACGCTGAGGGCCATTTTTGTTCATTTTAAAGCATATCGTAAACTTTTGATGTCTTAATCTCAAAAACTTTACAGAATTGAAGTGCACTCCAATCAGTTTTCGATTGTATGAAGTTCGGCAACACCAGCCCAACTCCCGGGAATTCGTCATCATGGAGAAATTTTGCGAACTCCCGATTGCACCAAACTCCGTGTGAGGTTTGTTTACGTCAGGGTATTCGCAAGTTTACTAGTATGTTCATCGCGATCGAACTTTCTCCCTTACGTCCGGTCGGCCTCAAACGCTTTTCCTTTTCTCAAGTGCCCTTTACGCAGGGCCGCTTGTCGTAGGGCAGTAATTTTTGACCTATTTTCCCGACCGCTTTTCTGGAATCATGGGAAACGGCGTGAAGAATTCAATCGATCCAGACCCAGTTACTGGGCATCCTCCTCACTACTTCCACGAAATGCCCCACGAAGATGAGGAGCGGCTGGAAAAGTTGTTCAACTCCCTGGATTTAGACGGGAAAGGTAAAATTGATATCCACGATTTGTCCGAGGCCCTGAAGAAAGCTGGTCTGCACCACGGATACGCTGAGGTAAGAGAGTCCTCATTTCCGCATACCGTCTGTCATCCCCACTGGATGGTTCGATAGATTTCTAAACTTTCCCAGTTCAGAGTGCCTATGTAATCTGGAGGCAAGCAGATTTTCTGGCTTGTCATTGAGAAACAGTGGCTGAATAATACAGATTTTTTGCTCCTTGGTTTTTTTGAGGAATCGAGTTTTGAGGTTATGTTGTGACTGACGATATCTGAGCATGAATTTCCAGCCATCCCATGCAATCATTGAGCACTGAAATGCCTACTCTGACGTTGAGGAAATTTTGTGGAATGACCTACTTTTTGTCAATAAAAATACGGTGGGTGCATGATGGTTAGGCCTCAGCATATATGCTCAAACAACACTTTCACATTTTACTTACGTTGACAGTTTTCAAAATCAAATGACAATCTACATCACATACATGTTTAGTTAATTGCAAGGTAGTGCATAACTATTAAACAATGTTACCTATGCAGAGAGTATCAGATTGCCCCAAAAGCTAGTTTTTCAAATCTAGGCAGTCATTCAAAGAACAGCCCTTCAAACCCAGGATGCGCCAGCGTTTTGCGTGGTCGTTGGCAATTCTATGTTAGTTGACACATACACTGACCCTCCGGTGTACAATGTTGTTTGGTAAAGTTTGCTTTGCCTTTTAAAAATATGTCATACTTTTTATCATGCATTTTATAGCTTTCAGCTCAAAATTTAATCAAAAACTGCCCTCATTTTCTATTTTGGAGTGGGTTCTAGAAGGAATCGATGTGGTAATAGGTGAATTACTATCAATTAAAAGTGTGTTCAGTTTTAATTTAATTCCTTTTTACACATTAGTCTTTAAAGTTCACTGATTTAAAACTCTTAATATTTCATATTTGTCCTCCTCTAATGTACTACTTTTGAGCAGTTGTGATTGTGTCTTGCTTTCATTTTTCAGAAATTCCTCAGGCATTCAGATACCAATAAAAGTGGAGATATATCCTTAGCTGAGTTCATTCATTATGTGAAGGAGCACGAGAAAAATTTACGCTTGGGATTCTCTCATCTAGATAAAAATAGAGATGGTGAGTATCTTTCTTTCAACAGGATGGATTGTTAAAGATCATTAGTATATATTTCAGCATTATCAATGCTATGAAAAGTTTAATAATTTGTACCACTTTGTTAATTTATCTTAACAAAGGGGTACAAACTTGAAACATACATTAATAAGCCATATCAGACAAAGCAAGACCCTGTCCGCCAGGCCAACAGGACAAAACAGATCAAAATTAGAAATAAAACAAAACCGAACAAGTAGAGTGTTGGTAACAACTGAATAAAAAAAAACATATACTTCTCAGAGGCCAAAAACCACCCCCCCCCCAAAAAAAAATTCTATAAAGTAGAGTAGAATAGACAAATCAGTCTATTCTGGATCGGAACTATGAATTTTTTAACGTAACTCATCAGACAAATGGGTCGTAGGGAGCTGCAGAATCTCCCTGATAACTACCATCTGAAGCTTAACAACTCTATCAAGAGCTTCCTAGCAAGCACTACCATAAAGTCTAATACCATTCTACATCGAAGCTTTGAAAAGGGCCAAGTAAATAGCCCTTAAGGAGTCAACCCTCTGCATCTCAAGCTGACTAAAAATGGTTCATGTGACCTTCCAAAGCGGACCAACCACATAATCCACTCTACACGATGTTGCCATGAGAAGTGACAGTCAATAAAAATCCCCAAGTATTTGGTATTACTGCAGACATTGAGAGGTGAGCACCCACTTTCAATACTAGAACAACCATGCCTATGAGAAGCTAGCCTTGAGAAATCTAATTCAGCCATACCGCCCTTGGTCAAGAAAGACTTACCCACCGTCTTATGAGAGTTGGGATGTTTAATGCTTTTTTATCGGTTTGTTTAATCACTATCTATGGAATTTTTAAAAATGTGGAAGACCCCTAATAATCTCATGTTTGTTCTCCTAACTAATTTTATTTTCCATTCTAATTATTTTATTTTTTTTTAATTATGATTAGGGTTCTTGTTCTGAGAAATGTTCTGAATAAAATTGATAAGTAATGAGATCATTATCAACAATTAATAAATGGTAGTATATGTATGTATGAGTATTAATGTATTAACTGCAGCACTTAGCAGTTTCACTTTAAATTTTTCTCTTCTGATCTGCAGGTAAAATCGATTTAGAGGAGTTAGTCAAAGCTTTTTCAGAATTAGGCGTGGAAATAGATCACAATGAAGCTAGAAAACTGCTCCAAAGGTATGTCCCAGATGGATTTGATCTTCCATCATGCGCATTTTTTTTATGTTAAGCATTTAGTTTAAAAAGTTTACTAATTTTCCGATGAATGCACAGTTTTGATAGGCAACATTTTTTTGCCTCAATTGAAATTGAGCAATGAATTTGCTTGTTTCAAATCTATTTCAGTAATTAATGATAGGGGAGGAGTATCTCAGAAATGGCATTTTGACGCTGAAGGAATAATGGGTCAGTCGCATTACTCACAGAATTGAGTTTTGATGTTTGAAGCCTATTCGTTTGCAAAGAATAATAAAATCTGATCAAACATCAAGTTTCTTCATCCAATGTTAACGGAGGTATTCCTCATCATAAAAAACGGTGTATGATACAAATGCGAATTAAAAGTTAAGAAAATATGACTGAAAATTGGAGGAAAGTACTGTATGTCAACCCGATTATCGCTTCAAGGACTTAAAATTAAGGAAATGCCAACAAGTAGTGTTCAAAATTTCATCCAAAAAGGGAAGAAAAAAAGTAAGTTTCTCAATTTACGTAGGGTGATTTTATTTGTGCACTCCTGGCTTTCATCACGATTTTACTGTAAAACATCTCATAAGTATATGAAAATGACCTGTTTTGTAATCTCGTAAGTTTTTTAAGTTTTGCTACACAACATAGAAAATTTTTTTTCACGTCTTCGATTGATCACTTACTATCTTCTTACTCTTTTTTCCTCAGCTATCACAGCCTTTTCACATTTCTCACAACTTTTATCCTTCGTTCTACACATCTAGCCTCATGTCAACCGTTGATCTGCTCCATTATTCTCTATTGTCACTTTCTTTTGTCATATTTTTAGTTTATCTCTAAACTTCTTCTTTAACACTTCTGTCTCCTTTTTCTGAAGGGGGGGGGGGAGGCATAACAATTAAAGTTTTATTTTTGTAAAAAGTAAAAAATGCACTGCCTCTGTGGTTCCACATGTAGAGTTTGTTTGTTCGAGGATCTCCAAGTAAGTACGTAGGTATTCTTTTAAAGGAAAGTAAATTAGTCTCAGGAGAGTATATTCCCTAGTCTCCTAGTTGTAATTGTTTTTTAAGTTGAAATCTTCCCAAAGGAATTATACTCTCAGGCAAAGGCTCAAATATGTTTAAGTTTGATTAAGGACTAAAATAAAAATAAAAAAAAATGTTAAGAGACCACATGAAATTGGATGAAAAAAAATTTAGCTTCTTTTCTTTAAGTATCATATGGATAACTTTTGAGAAATAATCAACTCCAGAGATTAGAATTCTTACAATACATCATGCCTCTAGATAAGGTATGTAGTAAAGCTTTCTGCAACATGTCTTCTCTTCAAAATTTCACATGGAAAACAGATCACGCAACTGGAAACCTATATATCAACCCCGAAACAAGATAAACGTGTTTACTGTTTACTTTTTACCCTAGAGTTGTATGACAAAAATACGAAGTGTGTCATCTGTGTAATCTGATGATTTTTGTTAAAAATGCTCATCAATATTTTGTTCAGGAGTTGATTCCAGAACTTCTCATCAAAGAAATCACCCTCTATGTAAGATTTTGAAAAGAAAACATGTGACGTTTTTTACTTTGTTAAAACCTTGCAAAGTGGCCCTTTATCAAGACTTATCAGTTATCCCTGTATAATTACACTTTAAGATCAACTTTAGTAAAGTTAATAACATTTGGAGGCATTGAAGTAGCTTATGATGCAAGCTGTAGCTCTTTAGATCTCACCTGAAATCCGCTCTTGTATTATCCAAAAAATTCTATTAGTCTAGTTTGCTTCTCTCTCTACTTTCAATTTCTTATCTTTTTGTTTTTTGTAAATTTTCTGTTTTTCTCTCATTTCTTCCTTTCGCTTTTGTGTTGCTTTTTTGTATTTTTTGCACTGTAGACTTTTTCTCATTTTTTTTTAAATAAATGATAAAATTGTGCTTCGGTGCAAGAAAAGGACCTTCATCTCTAAGGTTGCGACAGTCAGGGAATACCAGTAAATGTCAGGAAAGTCGGGGAAACCTGGAAATGGTAGGCAAAATTACAAAAATATCAGGGAAAATTTGTTAAGTGCCTTTGTTTGCTTTCTAGAGTGGGTTTGACGTTTCGAAAAACAAAGTTTGCCTGAAAACCAAGTCAAATTATGTCTTTTCAACCAGCTGGCATATCTTTAATTGTCAGGGAATTTTATCAAAATGTATTGGGGAATTTAATTTTACAAATTTTGTGGCAACCCTGGAAAAAATACCTTCATGTTGGGCAGAGTTGGTAAATTCAAGCATTTTCTCTTTTGATCCTAATAAAGATTAGGGTGCTTTCTTTGTACTGTATCACAATTTTGTTTTCTCCTTCATTTCTGTCCTCTCTTTTTCGCCTTCTTTGACTTCTCTTCTTCACATTTTCTTAGTTGTAAGAATTTCTCTGAACAGTTGAGTCCATTTTTTATTTCTTTCTATTAATATTTCAAGGAAAACAATTTTTTTAAGATGCTCTGTTTTCTGTGTTAAAATAGAAAGTCAAACGGATAAAAATAGTAACTCATATATTTATATAATTAAGAGAGATACGTATTTGAGGCTCTCTGTGGCAGAAAATATGGCGGTTTCACAAGAGTTGTTTTATTCTTTATTTTCACGTACAATACATCAATTGAATAAATATCATCTATTACCAGGAGTGCAAAAAATGCCCTATCTCCTCACCTGAGGATTGCTGTAAACTTGATGCTTAGTTTGCAATTTGAAGTATCCCTCAGGTGCTTCTTTTTACATAATTTTGTGGGTGATCTTATCAAAAATTCGGGAAAGAATAGAGAGTTAAGTTGAAAACCGTGAGAAAATCAAAGAATATTAATCAAAATGTTAAAGAAATTTAGCCAAGGAGGAAAAATAACTGATCGTAGCTACTGGTCTGCGTATTGGAATTTCCTCGTCTTTTTGTTGTCCACTAGCGGTGAAATCTGGTCAGTGTTTACAGAAGTTATAACTTCATGGACATGTAAAGCACTAAAAAGTTTGAATATTGCGTTCTGAATATGTTCAAACTTGTCTGGCATTTAGAGTCTCAATGAACGGACTTATGTCGTATGAAATGGAAGTAATGCTCGAGTAAAAATTCGAATTTGAAAATCAAGCTGATTTGCTTTTATGGAAATGATCGTGCATCTTCAATTTTGCAAATGTAGATGTAGTGGATGTTCTGGACAGAGTAAATTTTTTAATTAGCCGCCAAAATTTTTACCCATAAACTTGCTCTCATAAGGAATCTGACCTCAACCAAACTGTTCTTTTTGAAAATTACCTCTTTGAATTGATCGCCCTAAAAAACATGACCTTTGAGCTGGAATGACAGTAGTTTACTTCTAAATATCTGGGTGAGCCCTGTAATCTTCCAATAGATTTGGTCCCAGACCCTTGATGTTAAATTTCAAATTGACTGCCATCAATTCCATCGAAGAACCTATGGTCCATTTTTTCCGGAATAGAAGAACCGTCACAAGGAATGAGGAAAAATGGCAAAATAGCATGTGTGCTTTTAGTTTCAAAGGTGTGGCGTAAAAAGATGGGAAAAAATTCTTGTCAGATTTAACAGGGGTGGTAATTATGTTGCAACGCAATAGCAATTTCTAAAATCCATGTCTGTCTAAGAAGTATAACGAAGTTCAATCTAGTCAGAGATGTGCGTGTCTGCACGTGTTTTTCAATTCGATATTTCTCAACTATTTTTAGGATGGACAAAGATGGAAGTCTGGAGATCAGCTTCAACGAATGGAGGGACTACCTCCTGTATGCTCCAACAACAGATATTCGGGATCTCATCAATTACTGGCGGCATTCAACGGTGAGTACTTTTAATTTATGTTTCTTTTCCTCGTGACATCATGTCCAGTCCATTTGTAGAGGTAGAGCTATTATTATAATTGTGCATTGTGCACCGTTGTTTGTTTTACTGTCGTTGCAGCTACTCAAAGATCAGTCGCTCAGAAACTTTAACCTGTGTAGCCCTTGGTTAGACCTCTCACAAATTTTACTCTTGTTGGAAATTGCATCCTCTTGAAATTGCATTGAAAAGCTTTTTCAAGGTGGATTAGAGTATTTTGAGGTCTTAAAAGGTCAAGTAAATCAAATGTTCTACCAAATAGGTTTTAACAAAGGGAAGAGGAGAGAACTGGAGTAAGATTCCTCTCTTAGCACATCCTGTAAATAGGCACTCGTAACTGTACCAAATTTTAAACAGTCACAAACAGTTTTTATTTTCAACAGCTAGTAATCTTAAAAAATGACATCTCTCATTTTAGACTTGTTTAGTATCCACTTCATATTCTTTTCTGATGATTGAATGGAAAAAATGTTTCCTTTACTGAGTTTTGACTTCAAGTTCATCAAGGGTTGGAGAAAAAACCAAAAAACTGAACATTTAGGACTTACATTTAGATGAGCAGGCCATCCCTCTTGAAGTGTGATTGATCATTCACTTCTGAACAGTGACTAATTTTAAGAATATCTAGTAGGCTGTTATCTTCAACGATTGCATCAGCCTCAACTTATCATTACTACATACGATGAAATAGGCCACTAGAAGGTCCAATAAGGAACTGTGTGAAGATTTCACTTATTCTCTTCTCTTTTAATGAATACTTCCGTGTTTCATTTAATGAAGTCGTGAGACTTGAGAATTGAGCTTGATCTTAGTCATGTGAAGTTTCGAATCCTTTTCACTCTATCGGGTCTCTTAGGTTTAATTTAGTTTGATCAGCACAGCATGTTTCATTGTTTTTCACCTCCAAAGTGTTGTTAGTGGTCAAATTTTAATTTTTGTGTGGGTGTAAAAATCTTCTCAACCATGTTTGGATTATTTTTTCTTGTAAGTAAACACATTTGCTTTTCATTTTTCACTAAATAATGATTTTAACTAGGCTCAAATTTTATGGCAAGTGCGTACATTTCGTTTAATCATGATGATTAGGCCTTTGAAGATTCTTTTGAAACTACTTTTACAGCACCTTGAAAATGCTGCCATCTAGTAGCTTTTGCTATGATCACAGTTCGGGTTGTCATCGATGGATTGATTAGGTTTTTGTTGACCGGTTATCAAGCATTTCGTTTCTCTTGTTTGAAAGAGGTTACCAGGTGTTACTATTTTAGAGATTTTAAATTATATTTAATCGGTATCCAACTGAGTATGGCTGGATTACCAGCTGAAAGGTTTTGCTCTATTACCCGCTGTGCTATGTTGGATGTGGCTTTCATTGCTGCCAACTAAGGAAATTGAACGCCATTTCAACTTTTATTTTGTCGCTTCTCTCATGCACTGCCGTACTAAGGAATAACGTCGTATGAACCTTCAGGCGTTGCCAAATTTCCTTTGATAAAACACAAATCTCCTGGTAAATTTATGAATATTTTCCTTTCGATTTTTCATATAATTTCGCTTGCAATTTCACCTGAAGTTCCTGAAAATTTCACAGTAAAATATTCATAACTTTCCTCAAAAATGAAAATTTTATCGAAGGAAATGTGGCAACTCTCCAATGTTCATACGACGTTCTTCCCTAGCAGTGTAGGGGAGTATGTTCATTTCCACATGAGTCCCGGTCCCGGAAAGCATAGTTAAACGGAGATACAGTGTTCGAAACTCATCTTTGAGTTACAGGAGGCATTTGGTTCATCAAGCTTGATTTTTAGGGGCCATATTGACTTCATGCCGAAATAGGTACACTGGAAAAAAAACACATTGGATCTAGAGTCCAGACTCTTAAAAACATCGACAAGAAAAAGTACTTTTGATTCAATCAGAATCTAGCTTAAATCAAAAACCAAGCCTCTTAATTCATGCGAATTTCGTTTTGATTCAAGCAAAAATCCGATTGAATCAAGAGTATTTTTTCTTGTCAATGTTTTCAAGAGTCTGGACTGTAGATCCAATGTGTTTTTTTCCCCAGTCTATTGCGTCACACTCAGTGAAAAGGTAGACGCAAGATGTTTTAGTTGCAGAACAAGTAGCTGTAACTTAAGAGACATTTCGAAAAATCACCGAACAGAAAAATTAGGATTTTTTTCTGCGCGGAGGGGGGGGGGATTTTTAGGGGCCACGTTGCGCAGAGCCTTCATTTTTTAAGGCGTCATGACCGATTTTTCAGGCGGATTTGGCGCGTTGGCGCCTGTGAGTTCCGAACACTGACGGAGAACAGGTCTCACGGAAATACAGATACGACGTTACTTCAAAAGATGGACGATTTGCAGCGCCTAAACAAAGTACGACAGACGAGAAGGTTGGTCTCGTGACTTGGAGATCACGGGTTTCCGCCCTCGGTGATAAGGAACTAAGTCCCGCGCACCCGCCCTCGTCATGAGAAACGCAACGTTATTTTTTGTACGTCGATCGAATCGAGATGTTGCATGTGTGAGGAATTTGCGATTTGACTGTCGATTATTACGTAAAAGTTCGCGAGAAACACGATGGTGCCTCTGGTTTTCTCCGAAATCATCTCCCAAGCTCAGAAAAAGCTCTCAAGTTGAGGCCAAAATCGAGGGGATATCCCACCCTACCCTGAGAGTCCACGTCTACATCAAGACAAACTCTCTCTGCAAAGATAGGGAGCAAATACGTTGACAGGGCTGCCACTTTATTTGCGGACACTAAAACTGAAAACACGGCATCACTGCTAATGTATTTGCTCCCTATCTTTGCATGGAGAGTTTGTCTTGATGTAGAGGGGGACTCTCAGGGTAGGGTGGGATATCCCCCCCCCCCATTTTGGCCTCAACTTGAGAGCTTTTTTTAGCTTGGGAGTTGATTTCAGAGAAAACCAATGGCTCCATCGTGTTTCTCGCAAACTTTTACATAAGAATCAATGGTCAAATCGCAAATCCCTCACTTATGCAACATCTCCGTTGTTCATCGAGTGTCGAGAAAGTCCATTTATAGAAGTGTTCAAGCCTTATTTGGACGTATTTCTATCCAACACAACTATGTGCAGAGGGAAAGATTGGGTGTGCTCGTTCGTGCTCGGGCCCTAAGGATGAATGGGAAATACAAAGCGCCAGTGACGTCAGCGGCAACGACGAGAGAAACGACGATCGGGAAGGTGGTATTTAACTCATGAGCCCTGTCCACAAGGTTCTTGTCACTTGCCCATGGCTCATACTCTGTGCACATTGTTCCGTTTGACATGACGTGAAATCCCGCTTCTCCAATTCAGCAAGCGGAACTGTGAGCCAACTAAGTGCGGCACCCATGAGCCGTAGGCATGTATCTAGAGCCTAGTGGACAGGGCTCATGAGTAAACGACCGCCCCGATCGTCGTTTCTCTCGTCGTTACCGCTGACGTCACGGGCGCTTTATATTTTCCATTCATTCTTATGGCCCGAGCACGAACGAGCACACCCTATCTTTCCCTCTGCACCTAGTTCTGTTTGATGGAAATACGTCCATTTTGTGTTGACAAAATTAAAACTTTCCAGTTTTCACGGGAAAATATTCGGGAGCTTGCGATTGCGTCAATAGCAGGGATAAAGTCTGAATCAACACCGATCAAAAAGATGATGCTCGGGATAGTTCGCGAGGTTTATATCGATAATCACCGCTCAACATGGGTTCTGTCCTTCCAACCGAACCAATTTTTTTCGATTCCTAAGTGCTAAAGAAGTCCGAAAATGCCCATATTAATTTCAGGAAATTGTCTGGTGCTTTGGACGACGCCATTTTGAATTTTCAAAATTGAGGAAACCCACGATTAGATTTTTGCAATTATCTTCTCAATGGTTCATTCTACAAAAAAAAAACAACATGAAAACCAGCAGAAAGAACGTAAAATTTCCCACTGAAATTACCCTCCCCTGTTTTTTCTAGCTTAATTTTTTGGTCGTAAAATTAACGTTTTCTTCAAAAATTACCTTTAAAAAAGCGCATTTTTGCTGATTTTCGGAGTGACTTTGCTCCATATCTCCAGCCACGACTATCTGAGAAAAAAAACTGTTATCCTCATTGAAAAGGGCGTAAAATTTACTTCTGGAAAACATATGTCAATAGTTACCAAACTTGATCTAATCCTGTGAAACGGCAGTTTATTAGCGCCGCCCTCATATTGTGATTTTGTCGACCATCTCCTTTAAAATAAAAAAAAAAAACCTAAAAACGTAGCCCAAACTGTGTAACAAGGTGGTAAAATAGTGCTGGGCCACTATTTGGGAGGGGGGGGGGGACATAGCCAAAAGGTTCAACAATTTTCAATCAGAGCCAAAAATTTTGAGCTCTAATGAGTACCATTCAAAGCTATACATACATTTCCCCGCGAAATGGTGTGGACCCAGCACCATTTATCCACCTTGTTACTTACAGTTCGGGCCACGTCTTAGTGTTTTTATTCAGCTATACATATATCCACGCGGAATTCCTTCTTAGTGTGGAAAAATTGTGGTACTTCAAAGTTTTTTTCCCAACGCAGCCCAATTCCCAAGCCTCATGCGCTCTCTGTTTTGTTTACCCATCGGAGTGCATCCACAAACGCGTGCACTTCGACTTGGGGCGGACGGTTGGCTGGGAGTCTTGTCATCTGGGTCAATTATTACATGATCGAGGTTGATTCAACAATCACACCGTCGAGTCTAAAGTTTTTCGAGTCCAGAGTTTGCCCGTTGCGTCGGTGAGCTTTCATCGCGGTTGAGAGAATATCGGATAGTTCCTCCGTCCGAATTATGAGCTTTGATAAAACCGCGTGAGTGTGTCGCTTATCAGAAAGTCGGAGCTTTAAGCTCGATCGTGATTTAACCAGAAGTAACTCTTTTCGGGCGCTCCAGAGCAGTGGCGAGGCGCGAATGATCGATTATCGATATTTCCCC